AACTTTTGTTGGTCGGGGTGTGAAAAAAAAAACCCCACACCCTTGAGCAACAAAAGTGTAGTGTAGACATAGCCAGAGACAAGACAAGCAGAGGCAGAGAGAGTCACAGCAAGCAACACAAAAGCTGACAGAGAAAGCCAAGGACATGCAGCCTGGAAGCACAGTAAAGTGGCCCTGAAATAAAGCTTTTTTCCATACAGAGTGCTGGATGGAAAGACAGGCTGGCAACAGTGAACAAAGGAACTGTCTCCTCCTTTTGTTTCTTCCTGCATGTGGAGAAGCAGGACTTTGGTGGTATCATGTTTATTTACAAGGAGTGAACAAAGAAAATATCAGACTTCATTGTCAATTTCTATTCCCATCTGGAACATCCCCAGAGCCCAAAACTTTGGCTGACCACTCAGGTCAAAATGGAATGTAATAACAAAAAATAAAGTCCAACAATGGTTGTGTTTGTCTTAGTAACAAAATTAACACAAGTAAAAAAACCATCTACTTTCATGAACTATAGATTCAGATTATGGTAAAAAATGTGGTCACTCTATTGTCTGAGCCTATGCAAAGATTGAGAAATACAGCTCTCTAACTCTTCTTGCAGTCAAATAATTCAGTTATTCCATTACAAATGTAGAAACAATCCTGGTGTATCAGGGTACCATATGAAAAAAGGGATGGGTGGTGAAATGAAATAGTATAGGGCTTATACAACACTGTGTATAATGTTCAAAAACATCAGTGTAGACTTACCCTTGCTCTTGCTCACTTCCCCTGCAAAAGGAAGGAAACATTTCATTGTGTGAATATTTTTGTCCATACAGGGTTTGCTGAGGTTTTCTATGGAAGTAGGATTTGGATATGGAACAAGCTATTTGGAAAATCAAAGGAAGGGTGTATTGGAAGCAACCTGCTATGCGCTATAAAGTACAGATAAAACACTGGGATATCATTATAATGTTGAGCTAGGTCTTCTTTTTCTGCCTGGAACGGTTTCATGAAAAGAAAGGAGCATAAAGATCCTGATAAAGGGAAAATCCTGATGCATTCTTGTCTATGTAGTTGCTATGTCACCTCCATAATTAAAGTTAATGGGGATGAGGAGAGATACTCCACTACTTACACCCTTCCATTGGGAACAGAGAGCAACAAAAAGCCAACAGGTAGAGAACAGGAGAGGAGAAAAACTTCCTTGCTCATCTGGCTGCATCTTGATTAGCTTTGGCCTGTTGTAGGTGTGAAGAACCTTTTCACTGATGTGCAGAGCTCTGACCTTGTCCCTGTGGTTCCTGCAGTTCTAGGCAGTATATGCTAGCCTCAGTGGCTCTCTGTGATCCTCCACATAGAGCTTCTCTCGCTAGGGCCAGGGTTACAGTCTACGGAGCCCTTTTCATCATAAGCCAGCAAGGAGGTTGGTGAGAGAATTCCCAGAGTCTCTGTTGTCCCTAGGGCCTGTTTTAGAACAGTTTAGCCTCCTGTCCTGACAGGGGCCTATCTTCCCCTCCCAGGAGATGTTCCTATAGTGGTGGGTTGGGGGGAACCCAGGCCCGCCCTCTACTCCTGGTTCCGGCCCAGGGACCCTAATGGTAGCAGCTGTTGGCAGCCAACCTTTCATTGCCAGAGTTGCTACATTTCCCTGGGCCACTTCTCCACAGCTCTCCTGCTTCTCCCTTCTTCACCCTTACCTTAGGGCTTCCTTATCAATAACTTGAGGGTGTCTTCATTAACCAGTCCTTCAGCCACACTTTCCTAGCTCTCCTCTGCCTGACTGGAATGATCCCTTTTTATAGTATCAGTTTTGCCTTAATTAGAGTCAGATGGTCACATTAGCTTAATGGCCTCACCTGACTCTTTGCAGGTTAATTGGAGTCAGGTGTTCTCATTAGCCTGGAGCAGCCCCTGCTCTGGTCAGTCAGGGAACAGAAAACTGTTAATCCAGTGGCCAGTCTATCTGCCTTCTGCTATTCTGCTGTACCTAGCTGGCCTGGGTCTATCACACTGATCATTTGTTTATGGCGGGAGCATAACCTCAGATAAGGGTGGATGTTGGGGCATGGAACAGGGGATGGGATCTTCGCTTGCTGCTAATGCCCTCCTCATCCCACTCTAACAAGTCGTATTTGGCTCTTCATCTGCCCGTGAGAGCATTAAGTGGCAGCCTTAATGCTCTCAAAGAGCTGGTCCTGAGGGGGCTGAAGAATCTGGTAAGTCTTTCAGGCCAGTGTGGGGTTCTGGGGGACTGTGACAGGGAGCCTGGTCTAACAGAAAAACCTTCTATAGGAGCTGGGGAGTCCTGACTCCAGAAATCCCCAAGGAACAGATGGATTTCGCATACGGTGGGGAGTGCTACAGTTCACTCCTATAGTCCTCTCCACAGAGGCCTGGGAGAAGCAGGTCACAGGGAGCAGCCTGCCGGAGCAGAGAAATGGTTTTACATTCCCTGGAACAATGTGTCTGAGGGTCCAAGTATTCACACGAGGGAGCACTGGCAGCTGTCTGCAGCTTCACTCTATCTTGATAGAGTTTTTGGGTGGGAATTACATCACGTGAATGGTTCATTCCTGCTGTTTCAAGGCACAGCTAATATCGGACATCTGTCAGAACTAGATGAAGGATCAGAGTTTAGGAAGCATGCTTTTTCTTTCGTACAAAAGTCAGGCTGCTGGTGAGATGAGACTATTGCTCATCTTGCTATCCAGTATTGTCTCATTGACTCTTGGTAATCATTCTTATCAGCTACAAAATGTACTAAATAATGAAAAGTGTAATAAATATGAAATGCCAAATCTTATGTAGCTTTCAGTGCTGCGAGGGAGCGTGCAGCGCTGCAGGTGCTGATTACACTGGCGCTTTACAGCGCCAGTGTAGCCAAGG